GTTTCCTTGTTTTAGAGCATGTGCCTGTTGTTTATGTGATTTGACACAAATTAATCACCGCTATTTTTCAAATTGGACATTTTTGTATTACATGTTAACTCCTGCTTTCTTTCTGTCTGAACACATCTGACTTAAGTGTGTGCCGGCATTGATTTATGAAGTGGCCGACATGTGCAAAGGCGCTACAACGGCCCAAAACGTTTCCATGAAGAGAAACGCGCTGCAGCTTTAGAAACGATACGAATATGAAAACACAAATGTTCCAAAAGACATAGAAATGATTACACATCCTCACCAACTTGATGAAACATGCGCTGGGTTCACACAAAGCGCTGCATAGACACAACGATGCAAGAAGCTCAAAACACTCAAAAAGGATGCACACTGTTGGGACCTGAGCGCTTGTTGACGTTCGGGGATCAACAAACGTTTGGGGATTATATACAAGATGGCCAACTGTCACTGTGAGGCCTTGTTTCGTCAGTACGTTTTAAATGACTAGGTTATCTGTCGGCTTTCTTTCTGTCTGAACACATCTGACTCAAGTGTGTGCCGGCAATGATTTATGAGTTGGCCGACATGTGCAAAGGCGCTGCAGCTTTAAAAACTATACGAACATAAAAAAACAAACACTTCTAGAAACATCTCCACCAACTTGAGAAAAAAAAGGGAAAGGTTTTCAAAAAGCGCTGCATAATGTTACGGCCCGTCTACACTACAGGCATCAACAAATCTTGAAGCTGGGCGTGTCTGAGGCTTGGCGATTTCTCGCGACCAACAACCAATCAGGAAACTCCCACCCGCCCCCGGCATACAAAGCAATAGCAATGTTAAAACGAAGTAAACTGGATATAAAATCCCCAAACAGGCGAAAACCTACCAGTTTCACCCACTGTCTCTGCCACCTCCCTCCATGCCTCGCTCCTCCGGTTTGTATCCCGGTAGATGAACAGAGACTGATCATACAGCACCGGGTGATTCACTACCGCTATAATAAGAATTTTCCCTCCATTTTTTTGAATATAAGGAAATTACTTGCGTAGTGTCTCCCAGCATACACGCGGTTTGATTGGCTAGCGCTTGTACTGTCAGATTTGCATACGCGGGATTTGATTGGCTGATGCCAAGCATCGAGCCTCAGTTCAATCAATCAATCAATCAATGTTTATTTATATAGCCCAATATCACAAATGTTACATTTGTCTCAGTGGACTTTACAGTTTGTACAAAATATCAGTATGACAATACGACACCCTCTGTCCTTAGTCCCTCTGTCCTTAGACCCTCTGTCCTTAGACCCTCACATCGTACAAGGAAAAACTTCCAGAGAAAACCCACAGTTTAAAGGGAAAAATGGGAGAAACCTCAGGGAGAGCAACAGAGGAGGGATCCCTCTCCCAGGACGGACAGACGTGCAATAGATGCCGTGTGTAAATTGAAAAGATAATACATTTGCAACATAGGTAGTCCAAATGTTTGGAAATGCATGTGTGTATAATAGGAAGATGAATCTTCCCAGTTCAACTTTTGATGCTGATAGATGCTCGTGATGCTTGCAAAGCCATGCCATGCTCCCCACAATGCAGTTTGGCGAAGTTTAAAAATCTTCTACGTCACCCCATTCAAATTAATGGGCGAAGCGTTGAAAGCATGTGTCGATGCCTGTAGTGTAGACGGGCCGTTAGTGTATTCTAGAACCCTGAAGGCAGGAGAGACTGAAAAGAGTCAAGGGAAGCTTATAAACGTTAACAGCTTTTAATTACACAAAAGATGCGGTGGTGTACAAAATGAAATGTGCGAGTGGAGGCGCTCTCCTCATCCGACCGAGTCCAGGTCAGCAGGTAGAAGAGGTCAATTCTTGGCTTGCTCTTCCTGTTGTCATCTGAGGTCTTCTTCTATTGGCCGGCGTCGTCGGGGGGCGGGTCCAATGCAATTCCTGCCTTTTTCTGTTGTTAAATTACATCATTCTGGTGTCTGTGGTTATTTAAACATTCCCTAATAAACGTTATTCAGCGGTAATAAACGAGTGCTAAACCCAGTGTGCTCAGTGTACAACATCACATGTCATTTCACCTTCGATTCACGGTTTGAAAATGTAGCATTTCGCCACATGCTAATGCTAACCGGAAGTGAAGAATTTTCAAAATAAAGGTATTAAGTTAATAGTTAGTGTGAACTTCCGGTTTTTCAGAATAAAACTGATTTAAATTAAATAGTGTATTTAATTCAAATTATGCCATATCAACATTGATTTTAATTTCTAACAATAAACACACTTGCCTGTATATATTATATGAATGATTATATAAATTATTCAAGGTTAAAGTATACATTGATATTGTATGTTAACATTATATTAAGATGTAAACATTTTTTTTAACAATTAAAAAAAAGGGAGAAGGGGTCGGATTAAATAAGTGTAAACTTCTTCCGACCCCTTTTCGGACGCTAAAGCTTTGTTGTTTATTGATATCAGACAATGACACTACAGATTATTCAATTATTAATTAAATATTTCGTTTTGTTATTGCATTCATTTGTATAGTACTGTATCATGTCTGTATCATCTTTTGTTTCATTTGTATTTTCTTTGGTTTTACACGCTCGAAAAACTAAACAACAATCTCAAAGCACAGGGAAACATATTGCTTTTATTTAGGTCTTAATGTGTGCCTATGTATAAATGTGTCTGATGATTGTGTATATATAGGATATACATATTTGTATACATATTTGTATATATATTTGTATTGTTGTATTCTGGATTGTGGGAAACGGTATTTCGATCTGTCACAAACTGAAAGATTGACAATAAAGTTGACTTTAACGGAAAATACAGACTCTACAAAATGATACACACTTTTGGGTCCTGAGCGCTTGTTGAAGTTCGAGGATTATAAAGATGGCCAACTGTCACTGTGAGGCTGTTTCATAACTGTGTTTCGCCAGTATATTTGAATTAACTATATTTAGAAATGTATTTATTAGGATAAACCCCCTTCAAAATAACAGAAAGCAAAGCATGACAAACAAGGACAAACCACGTACAGTCTGTTAAACCATGTAGTAATACATACAATCATTACAATTTAAAACAGTGTCTAATAGATCAGTTTCATCAATAACAAGAGCAGCTGAAAGTGAGATGATCATGCTGAAACATACCCAATGATGACCCAACTAGGTTATCTGTCGGCCACCGTAGATTCATGTTAACGTACCTGTCAACCTGCCAGTGTCAAAGGACATGACAGGAACATGTGAGCACAACAACACCTCCCTTTTGTTTCGGATCCTATGAGCCTCCTGACTCTGGCTGTTATTGTTTGTGTTGACGCGGCGCTGACAGCCATCGTGGTGCGGAGAGCCTGAACTCATTATCCTTAAAGACAGGAGGAACAGCTGATGTGACGGTGCACGGCTGCAGTGCTGTTTATCCTGCAGGTTCCTTCCCTCCAAGCCAATTTATGATGCCCAGCGTTTGTGTATTTCAGCGACTCTAACCTGGTTATCTTCTGCCGCGGTCCCAGGAGCTGCTCAGATGGATTACATTAGTCTAATGCTTCCCCTGGAAAGTGTTTCATCTTATGTTCGGCTTTTACCCAAGACTCAGCAATTGCATTAGAATAATATGTGGGTTTTAGTCTTGTTTTTATTTAAGAGACCTGCAGTGAATTCCCGCCATCTCATATATTAGAGCCTTGAGTATGCTTGACATGAACTCAATTAAATTGGTTGAATTGGTTCGCTTTGGTTGTGAATACATTTAGAGCACACAGGCTATAACCTCGAGGTGAGTGGAGGTATTGTATTCACCCGCGGGGGAGAATTACAGATATTATTTTAACTTCATACATAAAACAGTCCACATTGTGAAAAATCTTTATTTTAACAATTCTATTCCAACTTTACGATTATAATTGAGTCCTCGAGACCTCTAAAAATAACTGAAAAAACATCTTCCAGCATATTTTATTTTGTATAGAAACTCAAGACACATGAGCTCATTGTCCCATGAGGTCATTGTTTTAATAAAGTACATGTTTTTAAAGTATTTTCTAGTAGGTTCAAGGTTCTTTATTTGTCAAACGAACACAGTGTAGTTATGTCGATGAAAATGTTGTGTCACAGTCAGTAATATGGCATATGATTCATTAGAGATATAAGTATTTGCAATTGTACAGCGCTATGATCACTTTATTGTAAAAAGTACATATTTTTAGAATGGTCACAATACTTTAATATGTTATTTATGTCACTAAATTGTACCTAAATTGCTGCTACTCATGTTTTAGCCATGGTTGTTTACTTATTTGTCTTCATTTGTTTTTATTTACTAATGTGTGATTTTATTTATTTATTATTTAATGCTTTTTCTTTTTTTACCTGCTTTGCCACATTTGCTGTAACACTGTAAGTTTCCCCGCTGTGAGATTAATAAAGGGATTCTGAAATCAAACTTTTTTCTCCGCTATGTCCAACTAATTGAGTCCACAAAAACCTCTATTAATAACTGAAAAAACATCTTCCGTGCAATCGGTCTAAAGCTTTTGATTTTAGACCGATTGCTCCTCAGCACAGGAGATGAGTTCAATTCCACGCTTCCACATGTGAACAAAACTTACATTTCTCTCGATCTGGGTCACCGTTTCTTTACGCCTCTCCATTACTAACCACATGCTGGGCCTGTAATGAACTTTGAGTCCCTCTTCAACACAAGCAGTTACTGAAAACAAGCCTATCCATATGTCCTTGCAGAGCGAGAGAACAACAACAACAGACTCAAACAATTTGATGATAAAATTAATTAGATTTCAATATCAACCTGGTTGTTAATAACTGAAAAAACATCTTCCAGCATATTTTCTTTTTATAGAAACTCCTATGAGCTCAAATGTTGTCCTATGAGGTAGTATCTACTAGTCGGTAACATGGCATAAAATAACATTCATTCAAGCTATGAGTGCATTCCTAATTTTCTCTCCACTGTGTCATTCCAGACGCTCAACAAGAACAACCTGCTGCCGGATGAAAGATCTAACTTCTTCCCGACGCCGCTCCAACAAACCAACGTCTACACCACCACCTACTATCCCACGGCACTCGGCAAATTCGACTACCAGCCAAACTCCTCCCCCTCGCCCTGTAGGACCTACAACCAAAACAACAACAGCTGAGACTCGCCCCTCCATCTCTCCGAACCCCCCCACCCCACCCCCCACCCCCCCACGCTAACGGACACCACCCCGAACGGTGATATAACTGAACCGACGTGAACTGTAACGTTTCTCAGAGCTCGGACAGTTTCCCTCAGTTCGTCACCGCCATTTTCCTTCGTTCCTATCGTCTCTTCCGCATCGTTGGGTTTGTGTCCTCAAGGGCGTTTTTTGGAACTTTCCATCAGGAGGTGTGGGGGTTCGGAAGAAAAAAAAGGCACTTTTGGGGGTGTTGTGGTAACGGCCTGAGTGGATATAGGAGCTCAAAGCTTCACGGGGCGATTTAGTGGAAAATTCCACTAGGACGAGTTTTGGCTTGCTCCTCAGCACAGGTGACGAGTTCAATTCCACGATTCCACATGTGAGAAAAACGTACATTTCCCTGGATCTGGGTCACCGTTTTTGTACGCCTCTCCATTACTAACCACATTCTGGGCCTGTAATGAACTTTGAGTCCCTCTTCAACACAAGCAGTTACTGAAAACAAACCTATCCATATGTCCATGCAGAGCGAGAGAACAACAACAAAAGACTCAAACAAGTCGATGCTGAAATTAATTAGAGATCAATATCAACGTGGTTGTTTGGGGCGAACGCACGCCCTCCATTGTTGGGATTTCACGTGACGGAGAGATAAGAACTTCTGAGTTGATTTTGGACGGTTGTTTGTAAGAGTCACAATCCTCAATAACAGTGGATTCACACGCCCTCTGTGGACAAGGACCTAAAGTCAAATCAAGGGGGATTGTGGGAAGTGTACATAAAGCTTTGGGATGCCTTGGGTGCCTGTATGCAAGAGGGCAGGGGCGAGATTTCTTTCTATTTCTTCTGTTTCTTTTCCACGAATAAAGACTTCGAAAAGGGAATTGATTGATTCTCCAATTGATTCTCCAATGGATGCATCGATTCTACTGAGTGCTTAATAGCCCGGTGGTCATATCAAATATGGCCAGTGTGCTGAACAACTGGATTGGGTTTTCTATGATTGTAGAATAAGCTAGTAGACTGGCACTTGTTTTGTTTTTTCTAAATGTTTGTTTTATTCTTAGACAAGCTGTAGCATAGGAGGACATATTTTGTTAAGTAAGATATAGCTGATTAATTCTTGTTTCTCTAATTTCACATTCCTTTGTTGTTTCTTGAGTTTTCATTAGTTTGGTAAGCATCTTCAATATGTGAAATAAACGATAAAACAATACAAATATTGACATGGTTTTTACACAGAATGACGGTAACATGATGTGTGTGTGTGTGTGTGTGTGTGTGTGTGTGTGTGTGTGTGTGTGTGTGTGTGTGTGTGTGTGTGTGTGTGTGTGTGTGTGTGTGTGTGTGTGTGTGTGTGTGTGTGTGTGTGTGTGTGTGTGTGTGTGTGTGTGTGTGTGTGTGTGTGTGTGTGTGGACAGAGGGGTATTTTGTACAATGTAAATGCTTTCATACATATATGACTATATATAAGGATGAGGTTTTTTTGTGCATTTGTTTCCACATACTGTCGCAGGCATTCTACTGTGTTTCTATATTTCATACATGGGAAGCTAGTCATTGTAAGTTAAAGCATCACAGGTGGAACTGACACTATTTAAAGTCATAGCTTGGGTTATAAAGGGCATTTTCACAGCTATATTTTATTATTATTATTATTGCCTGATGATCGATGAATGCTAACCCAGCGATGCTTTTCAGTTCAGCTACTGTACATGCACGAGAGCTCTATCTGTATATAGACAGCAGGCCCAGTGTAAAACCTGCAGAGGATCGTGTAAATGTATCTGTATATTGTATAGCTAACACTGTTTGTTTAAAAAAAAGCCTTATAGTTGTTTTAAAAAAAAGTGCAGCAGCTAAGTACACACCAACCATGAGGTTTGTTTGGGGACAGAGCTCCGAAATGTGACCTGAAACAGCTGCTCAAATATCCAGAAAAAACACAAATCCACACAGAAGAACTGCGTAGCACTGATATAAGGGACAGAAACAAACACTACAGACTGCAAAAAGTCATATATGATGATCAAATTGAATTAAAAAAAGTCATTTTGATCCAAACTAAGCCTCTATCTGAAAGCGAGTGATCTGATTGGTCCTCTGTGAGCTCTATCTGAAAGCCAGTGATCTGATTGGTCCTCTGTGAGCTCTGTCCCCTGCGATGTGAGGCTCTGTGCCCTTCTATGCAACTTACCAGGTGTACTGTTAGACCTGTCATGTAGACTGTAATCACTGCCTTTTAGACACTGTGAATTTTTTGGTACCCTATATTTTTGTATATTGTACATTATAAAGGATAATAAACCTTGATGCCAACACACCAGCGTGCTCAGTGTGGGAGGGTTTGAGACCTTTAAAGGAGAAGATTTATGGTTTCTTTTGTTTTAATTAGAGGTGCTTATAAGAGACTTGAAGATGCTGCAGTGAGACCTTTCTTCCACAAATCAACACGCAGAAAAAATACAAAATTAAACCAACTTTTTAGTACAGAGGTTATTTAGAAGGCTGCAAAGGGTATGTGACAATTAAAAACAATGTTTATTAAAATTGACATTGACACAATTCCTAAAATAATGATACTATGCTGAGTTCAATAAAACAAATCCACATTTTACATTTAATACTTGTGTTTTCAAAGCAGTCTAATTAGCCGAACACATTGAATTGCCTCAACAAAGGTCATCATGTTCACATGGTATTTGTTCAGTTTGACCTTGAAGGCCCTTTTGATGTTAAACGACAGAAAGTAATCAGAAATATGGATTTGTGATTTTTCTTAGAAGCATACTGTAACTGCTGAAAAAGACGCTTCAGCTTCTTAATACATTGCAACTTTCCAATGGGCGCTTTTCAACGCAACTACAATGCTATCTTGTTATTTCATGAATACATAAGATTGGTTTGCCATTTGGCTGTTATTGTTTTGTAAATCGGACAATGACAAGCTTTTTGTCCGACCAAATGTGTATTGTGCTGCTCAGGAGATACTTGCTTAAAACAATACATTTCAAAGAAGGCAAAAAAAAGTACTGCCCTATAACTGCATATGCAATAGTGCACCACAGTTCAGTAAAGTCTCAGTTACCTGCGGACAGGCCCTTCATCCCCAGAACAAATGGCTGCTGTGCTGTGTGAGAAGAGAGAGGAGAGAGGAGAGAGGAGACGGATGGGAAAAAGGAGCCGAGTCGTCAGGGTGAGTCCAGCTGAGAGACCGTGGATCACTGAAGCTGCCAGAGACCTGAGACCTGTCCTCCATCATCACACCACCATCCCTCTGCTGCAGAGAACCAGAGCAGAGAGCAGCTGCTGTCACACAGAGGAGGGAGGAGGAGGTGGAGGAGGAGGAGGAGGAGGAGGTGGAGGTGGAGGACTCAGATGGTTCAGTTTAGAGGAGAATCAGAGGGAAACACTGCAGTGTCACAGATTACCGGAACTTTCTCACATGCTATTGTCTAATAAAAAGAGCCGTAGATCTTACCCCAAACGTCACAACAGCTATCCACACAGAAAACACTGAAACGTTGACTTTCATTTAATGCATTATGTCAACAGATTTCACATAACTGTATTAGGTTAGCTGAAAGCAATACTTTAACTGTACAATTAATATTATAGTATAGTAATATAAGTAATATAAGTACTCAGATCTTGTACTTGAGTAAAAGTAGAAGTAGTCAGATCTTGTTCTTAAGTAAAAGTAGAAGTACTCAGATCTTGTTCTTGAGTAAAAGTAGAAGTAGTCAGATCTTGTTCTTAAGTAAAAGTAGAAGTACTCAGATCTTGTACATGAGTAAAAGTAGAAGTACTCAGATCTTGTTCTTAAGTAAAAGTAGAAGTACTCAGATCTTGTACATGAGTAAAAGTAGAAGTACTCAGATCTTGTTCTTAAGTAAAAGTAGAAGTAGTCAGATCTTGTTCTTAAGTAAAAGTAGAAGTAGTCAGATCTTGTTCTTAAGTAAAAGTAGAAGTAGTCAGATCTTGTTCTTGAGTAAAAGTAGAAGTAGTCAGATCTTGTTCTTAAGTAAAAGTAGAAGTACTCAGATCTTGTTCTTGAGTAAAAGTAGAAGTACTCAGATCTTGTTCTTGAGTAAAAATAGAAGTACTCAGATCTTGTACTTGAGTTAAAGTAGAAGTACTCAGATCTTGTACTTGAGTTAAAGTAGAAGTACTCAGATCTTGTACTTGGGTAAAAGTAGAAGTTCTCAGATCTTGTTCTTGAGTAAAAGTAGAAGTACTCAGATATTGTACTTGAGTAAAAGTAGAAGTACTCAGATCTTGTACTTGAGTAAAAGTAGAAGTACTCAGATCTTGTACTTGAGTAAAAGTAGAAGTACTCAGATATTGTACTTGAGTAAAAGTAGAAGTACTCAGATCTTGTACTTGAGTAAAAGTAGAAGTACTCAGATATTGTACTTGAGTAAAAGTTGAAGTACTCAGATCTTGTTCTTAAGTAAAAGTAGAAGTACCTGAGTGTAGGAATACTCTGTTACAGTAAAAGCCCTGCATTCAAATGTTCCTCAAGTAAAAGTAGAAAAGTATTATCATCAAAATATAGTGAAAGTAGCGACAGTAAAAGTAGTCGTTGTGCAGATTGGTCCATTTCAGAATAATATATATGATATGTTTTATAATGATTGATCATGAAAGTGTTCTCAAAGCTGGTAAAGGTGCAGCTAGTTTGAATGACTTTGTATACTGCAGGGTAGCTGGTGGATTTACTCCAGATAGAAGTAGTCAGATCTTGTTCTTAAGTAAAAGTAGAAGTACTCAGATCTTGTTCTTGAGTAAAAGTAGAAGTACTCAGATCTTGTTCTTGAGTAAAAATAGAAGTACTCAGATCTTGTACTTGAGTTAAAGTAGAAGTACTCAGATCTTGTACTTGAGTTAAAGTAGAAGTACTCAGATCTTGTACTTGGGTAAAAGTAGAAGTTCTCAGATCTTGTTCTTGAGTAAAAGTAGAAGTACTCAGATATTGTACTTGAGTAGAAGTACTACTCAGATGTTGTACTTGAGTAAAAGTACTCAGATCTTGTACTTGAGTAAAAGTAGAAGTTCTCAGATCTTGTACTTGAGTTAAAGTAGAAGTACTCAGATCTTGTACTTGGGTAAAAGTAGAAGTTCTCAGATCTTGTTCTTGAGTAAAAGTAGAAGTACTCAGATATTGTACTTGAGTAAAAGTAGAAGTACTCAGATCTTGTACTTGAGTAAAAGTAGAAGTACTCAGATATTGTACTTGAGTAAAAGTTGAAGTACTCAGATCTTGTTCTTAAGTAAAAGTAGAAGTACCTGAGTGTAGGAATACTCTGTTACAGTAAAAGCCCTGCATTCAAAATGTTCCTCAAGTAAAAGTAGAAAAGTATTATCATCAAAATATAGTGAAAGTAGCGACAGTAAAAGTAGTCGTTGTGCAGATTGGTCCATTTCAGAATAATATATATGATATGTTTTATAATGATTGATCATGAAAGTGTTCTCAAAGCTGGTGAAGGTGCAGCTAGTTTGAATGACTTTGTATACTGCAGGGTAGCTGGTGGATTTACTCCAGGTGGAACTAGAGTCTGATTTAACACTTGATTATATTTCACATCATTCATCCACATCTGTGAAGTAACTAAAGGTATTAAATACATCTAGTGGAGTAAAAGTACACCATTTACCTCTGAATTGTAGTGGAGTAGAAGTAGGCCTACTAAGCAGCAAAAAGTAGTACAGTACTTGAGAAAATGTACTTTACACGTCTGCACATGGGACAGAAAAGACACTAAATTAAATCTGATAAAGCCCTCACATAAATAACTGAGTGCACTGCTGTGGTTCTGCATGGAGGAACTATATCACTGGATGTCAGATTGGAGCACTTTTCATCCCCTAAAATACACACACATGCCAATGATTTCCCATATTGCATAAGACCTTCTCATTTGGTTCGATGCAGGCCTCAATGTACCTCTCAATTATGAAGAGCGGCCTCTCTGCAATTTTATTAATGGTCGCAGTGAAAGCATTAATCAGTTGGTATTCTGCTGACGGACAGGTGCAGCAATCGGCTATCTGGCAGGCGGCCAAGAGGAAGCTGTGGGCTGGAGGAGGAGGTAGAGGAGGCGCTCAGATGAGATGGTGATGGGGAGGAATCAGGGAGGAGACCATGCTCAGAGTTATAATTCAGCCTCTGTGTGACAGGGAGGAACGAGAAAAACGCTGAGGAAGAACACCAGATTCAGCTCGGTGGTGATCTCGGATATTAAAAGTCTCCTATTATACTATTTTATAGGCTCAGATATAAACAAAACATGTCTATGAAGTGTTTGGCTCGAAGTACCAACAAGATCACCCATTATATCCCTCTATTTCAGCCCTGTTACTAAAGTGAAGATTATGGGTCCGTAGCTTTTTTAAATTTTGTATTTCCTGCTTCTTTACACATACTCTCTCCAGTACAGGTTAGCTCTGAGTGTTAGCGATGCTTGCTAATGTAAACAAAGACCATATTACGTCCAAAATACGTCAGGCATTGTTTCTGATAGCGACGTTTCTGATTGGGCCGTGGGTCTAAAGCCCGCCCACTTTTCGATCATATCGGACGCAAATCTGGATCAGCTCTGTTGTAGCCCCGTTTTTAGAGATTTGGGTACGGAGGAAAAGAGAGAGGGTTTTATTTGTTGATACTTTGTGAGTTCCCCGACACACCGGGGACACATAGTTATGTAGAAAAGACATCAAAACGTTTTGCATGAAAGGAGTCCTTTAAAAGGAGTTGTAGAAGGAACATGTTTGCAGTGTGACTCCGGGTCATGTCAAGTATTCTGTCTCTTATACTGTTGTATAACAATATCATATTTTAACTCCAACCACCTCTGTGTCTGTGCTTTAATGTGTTTCTATGTGGTTGTGTTGTGAGTGCTTAAGATATCGGATCCACGACAGAGTTTTGTTAAAAACAGAGATACCTGCTACGTGGAAAATGACTTGGCATCTTTTACAAACAAGGCACTGAGAGCCACATTAATCAGGAGTTATCTTTGAATTATTACCTGAGAACCAGTGTCAGCGAATGGAAGAAATATCCCCTTATCAAGCAATACTAAATATTAAAGTGTTTTACATGCATTTTTATCAGAACAGTGGTGCCAGGTTATGCAAAAACTCTGAGTGGTTTATCAATTGTATTCACAGCTAGTTTTATCACTTAAGGAGCTTAGACTGCAGAATATTTGGCACAACTTGTTGTTGCAGCTCTAGAGTGCTTTATGGCAATGAAAGTCCTCAAAATAAAGTGTTTTCATATATGGGGCGAAGCCTGCGAGCTGGTTCAGGCAGT